GACACCATCAAGTGGATAATCAGCTGTGTTGTTCTCCATAATCTTCTGGAGGATCTGAAGGATCAATGGAATGAGCTTTATGAAGAAGATGAGCCTGATTCAGCCCATGGCTGAGGACAACATTGACAACTCAAACAATGGGATATGTGGCATCTTACGCCAAATTACTCTTTCCCATTTTGAAGAAACTCAATGAAAGTTGCCACATCAGCTCAAACCTTCCTTAGTGGATAATCACCTGCATTGTTCTCCATAATCTTCTGGTGAACTTGGAGGACCAATGGAATGAGCCGTATGAAGAAGATGAGACTGAATGAGCTCCTGTGGTTGGTGACAACTATGGCAACTCAAATGATGGGATACATGGAATCTTACACCAAATTACTCTTTCCCATTTTGAAAAGTCTCTGTACCTTTTACCACCTACTTCATCAGAAGCTCTCTCACATTCTAAGTCCAAATCAGATCATCACCTATAAAACACTGCCCCTCCCCATCCCCTAATAACTCTTGCCCCTATCCGTCAAACTGCTTTACCACTGCCTCACCATACCCTGTCATTTTCCCCCACTAGTGAACACCACTTTTCATCACCCGTCAGTTTCCAGGTATATAATCTCACAGACCTTACTTTCCTTGCTGCTCTCTTCCGCTTCCCCAGCCAGCTGCCGCTTGCCTCCGCCTCCCTTGCTCACTTTCCATTTACCCCCCTCACAGACTCCAAGCAACTGGCCCAATTGCTAGCTGCCATGGCTTCCTCCCACCTGCCTGCACCTGCAAGAGGCTTCCCAGCCAGCCGAAGTCTCCCTGGGGGCTAACTTACCACCTTGCTCCCCTCTCACCCTCACCCGCCTCACAGAGGCTTCCTGGAAACTCTTTTGTGCCTACCAACCTGCCTTGCTTCCTGCCTCGGTAACCTCCCGCTTCCCAGCAACTTTCTTACCACCTTGGTAACCTCCCACACACCGCTTCCCAGCTACCTGTTGGCTTTCTAGACCACTCACTACCCTCATTACTTGCCTCCCACCCGTCTGTGTATCCTAGAGCCTTCCCATCTACCCCCAAACCCTCTGGACAACTTTCTAGCCCCATCACATCCCTCCCACCCTTCCAAACTGGTTCCCAGCTACCCACTAGCTTGCTAGGCCACTTTTTACCTTTTTTGATTGCCTCCCACCTTCCCACAACTCCCAGGGCTCCCAACTAACTACCCGCCGTCTCAATAGACCAATTTCTACCCTCTTTGCTTTGCTCCCACCCACCTGCAACCACCAGGGGCTTAACAGCTCTTCAACCAGAACTGCAAAAAAAAAACTCACTCAACTACCTGCAGTTGACATGCAGAATTCTCCAGCAAAGCTGCAATACAAACTTCACGTTTTTTCATATGTATATGTTTTTGCACAGTCACTGTTCAGTATGCACAGTGACTGTGCATCAAGGCTTGGTTGAATCACTGTTGGAGAAAGGTTGGAGTAACAACAGAAGCTTCCTGGGACTTTCTGCATGTCAACTGTAGGCAGTTGAGCAAGTTATTTTTGCAGTGCAGCTGGCTGGGTTGCTAACCGCTTTGCTTCCCTCCCAGCTGCCTGTGCCATATCCCAACTCCCAACAACTTCCTAGAAAATTAGATACCCTCGTTGCGTGTCTCCCATCTGCCCACAACCCCCAGGGCCTTCTAATCTACCCACTGGCTTGATAAACCACTTGCTACCCTCTTTTATTCACTCTGTGTTCTCATTACCAGGAGGAGATTTCTCAGATGAGTGGTGAGGAGAAAGAAGGGGAGGTTGTTGAAATGGAAGGGGTCATAGCCAAGCCACTCACCAACTGAAACATCAAACACCGCCAATAAGAAGATAAATTTTGGAAAGAAAAAAGTCTCAAGGCCAACCTGAACCTATCTGGAGTTGCACATATTCATGTCCACATCTCCAATCACAACCTCAATGCCTTGAATTGATTCTTCAACAAGTCATTCATTTTCTGGCCTTATGAATCTTGGAAAAACATCATTGATGTTGTCAAGTCTTATACCTTTGCAACTATGAATCCTTCCCTCAAATCCCAATACCAACATCTCAGCCACAGTTGCATTGCTCAATATACCTATCAAAATCTGTATCAGTCAAATGGGCCACAATATTCTGGGAATATTTATAGTCTTGGATGGAAAAAGGGATATAAGATCTCCTCTAAAATTGA